TCCGCCCCTTGGCGCATAAACTAGCCAGCCCCCCCCCTTTGTCCCACCACCCAACCCGAGCATGGGTAGGCAGGTGCAGTGGCATGGGTTCACACCCCTCCGGCCTCCATGTTTTGCGCCACATAAACAAAGGGATTACACAGAGCGCTAACGAGGATTAGCGCAACGCCAGACAACAGCTGGCTCTCTGCCCCAATTAGGGCTCACAACAAAAAAGCAAAAAACAACAACGTGCCAATTACCTGTTTGTCCAGAAGGGAGAAAGGGACCAATCAGGAAAGGAAAGAAAGGGACCAATCAGGAAAGAAAAAGGGGGGGGGGGTTATCAGTGCTCAGGCCTGGCGGAGGATGAGGACGCGATGTTGAGTTTGTGCAAAAGCAGAGCAGAGTGTTTGACTGGCTCCCTCAGTGAGACAGTGACACTGACAGGAGTGAAAAGGACATAGGCCTGTGCTTACAAGCTGGGGGGGGGGGCACACACACACATACTAACGAGCCTGTGTAGGGAGGGTGACTTCATGGAGGAGGGACTCTCAGCTGCTGCCGATGATATGGAGAGAGGCGTTACGGGACGGCACATATAACGAGCAAACAAGTGGCCAGATGTGCTTATGAGGCACCAATAGATAATACATAATAATAAGCAGATACATTTTGATTTCCTTAGTACGTTTGTTGGTTGTTAAAGGCTGTTCAGTCATGGCACACTGGACACAATGCAACACTGTTCTTACATAAAATAACGTTTATCCTGTATATGACACGGCAAAGACATCAGTTAAAAGGTTGGCATTTCACTACACAGATGTACAGTGAATGTTTATGTAAGAACTTGAAAAACTGTAAAACTGAATCAATATTTGCTTATGTGTCTACAGCACTGTTTTAGCACATCTGCTAGCATATACAAAAGTGTTAAACACGGTGTTTCTTCCTGCCAGGGCACCATCACTTTCTCTCTCCCGTTTGTATAATTTCGCACTTAAGACAGAGGTAGAGAGAGAGGGTGTCTGTGTTCGCTATAAATCTCTTCAGTTTGTTCAGCTTGTTTATTACGTGCCATGTTTCCAAGAACGCCCTCTAGAGGTAACAGTGGAAGCTGCTTGGAAAACGGAACTCGGCGCCAAGTCCCACTCTAGAGATCCAACTTCAGCGGGAGAAGCATCTGCCGTCCAAATAAATACACATGTTCAACTCATAAAACTCTTTTAAACTGTCACTGGTGAAGTGTCGACCTTTGACCTCTGAACTTTTGCATGATGTACTGTTTCAGCATCTACATTCATATATATATATTTTTTTTATACACGTTTAACCAGGTAATTTAATTTGGGCGTGACAAGTAAGCTGATATTTGTTTATTTCAACGCCTTTTGAACCTTCCTTCCAATTGCAGTTGCTGAATTCAGACTCTCTTTTTTGGTTTTCCAAACATTGTCAGAATTCACAAACACCCCAAGCTTGACCCCGTCCCTGAGGTCTGGCTTCTCGCCCCAGTCAAAATCAAACAATAACTGTTGTTTTCATCCAAGACAGAGTCCAATGACAATCAGCCTCAGACTCTGAATCTGTCCCAGGTTCTGTACACAAAGCACTAAACTTTCAACACAATGTTTTTGGCTTGCTGTGAATTATATGACTTCCATTAAAATTTATTAAGTAGCCAAATAATGACAGTACTGTACAACCCTGATCAGAGTAAGAGGATAGAAGAAGGATGGATGGAAATAATTACACTGCGTTAATATGGACTGTAAGCCTGTTATTCCTATTTTCAATGCTTACTTTAGTCTTAGGCACTTAAAATGTCTGTAATAACACAGTCGACGTGTGTATTGCTGCGTGACAGACTACTGACAGTGTTTATAATGAAGAAACCTTGTATGTGGTAATGTCTGTTTTCTAATGCTGCAGCCACAGTGGGTGGGTAAATTACTAGAGTACCATATATATATTCAAGTCTGAATTCCTTTAATGAGAAAAATTATCAGCTCACTAAAGATTGAACTTCTTTCAATGTAAAAACAGTCGAAAGGGCAAAATCAGGGAAGCCTCACGGGAACAGAGATCCGGGGTCACGGAAAGGAAAGGATTCTGGCAAATGGAATAACCAGATGTCTGTATGAACTTCCTGGAGAAACAAAGGAGAGCATCAGACACCGGAACACAAAAGTCAAAATGGGGCCCATTGCAGTGTTTAATACATATTCACACCAGAAACCAAAACACACAAGCCGGAATGAGGTCCATCTGTGTGTTTAATTCATATTCACATCAGGATTTAAAATACAAAAGCCGGAATGAGGTCCGTCTCAGTGTTTAATTCATATTCACACGAGGAACTAGAACATACAAGCCAGAATGAGGTCCATCTGTGTGTTTAATTCATATTCACAACAGGAACTAAAATATACAAGGCGGAATGAGACCCATTTGCGTGTTTAATTCATAATCACACCAGGAACTAGAAATCGCAAGCCGGAGTGAGGTCTGTCGCAGTGTTTAATTCATATTCACACGAGGAACTAGAACATGTAAGGCAGAATGAGGTCCATCTGTGTGTTTAATTCATAATCATACCAGGAACTAGTACACGCAAGCCGGAATGAGGTCTGTCACAGTGTTTAATTCATATTCACATTAGGAACCAGAACAAACAAGTGGGAATGAGGTCCAATGCAGTATTTAATTCATATTCACACCAGGAACCAGAACATGTGGGTTAGCAAAGTAAAGGGGACCCTCCTCAGGGACCCCGCAACGACAAAAGCACGTGACCTTCAGCCATGGTGACAGACCGGCAGCCCGGTGGACCGCGATGTTACCTCAGACCTTACTCTGTGCTGGTACAGGGTGACATATCTCTTTTTCCTCGCAGTATTAGTGTCATTCAACAAGGGCGAATTGGGGGGGGGGGGCTGGGAACAGAGGGCGAGGCTGTCACACACAATGGAGGGAATGGCATGACTGCCCCCCGACCAGGTGCGGGGGGTCACAGTGAGTGCCATCAGCCGCGCTTCAGCTGCCAAACATAGCGCAGCCACTGTTAAGTTCTGCCCCCCCCACCTCTAAAGCCTCCCCACCCTGTGCCTCTCCTAGGGCCCCAAGGCCACACAATCTGCAGGCTCTCGCTGGCCGCCAGGGATGGCTGGACACAGGATCTGTGTCATTCGGCGAGCAGAACACAGGGGGCCCGCTTCATGTGCATTGGCCCACCGGGGCTCACTGAACCGTCCCGCAGACATCAGAGGGGGGCCCCATGGCCCAAGCAGAACACAGGTAAGCCGAGAGCGTGACAGCGACCTCTGATCCTCAGCATGGCCTGTTCCTATGCTGTAAGTAAACCGCGGTGACATCCAGCCTACATGAAATCAGATCACAATCTCCTGTTGGTCCTTCCAACATAGCTAGATGCTCTCAAGCAGCTAAGATCCTCACAGCTGACCACGATAATTAATGAAAACGCTACCAGTGAGAAGGGCCACGAGACCAAAACTCACTTAGTCCACAGGATACATTTTTGAGAACATTTCTGTGGACTTGGTGAGTTTAACAAAATTTCTTCGTTGGATTACACTAGGACTGAGTGAGTTTTGGAATCTTTTTCCTCAGTGTTCTCTTCCCTGTCCTCTCGAACCCTAACCCGTGTGTTGATTTGGGCAGAGGTCTACAGCTGTGCATCATCCAAGAGGAATTAGCGTAGTTCGTTTGCACACACTCGTGAACGCTGCACGGGGACAGTACTGAAACATCTGCTCGACAGAAGGGAGTCACTTGATGAACGAGCTCAGTGCTTCTGTTTCTCCTGACTTAAGTGGACACTTCTCGCTGGATTTGTATGCTTTTTTCATAATAAATGCCGTTGAACTGACCGATACATGGAATGACTTACAGAGCTACAGATATGCAGCGATACACGTCAGAGGGGTCCTCACTGCACAGGGATAGGCCAATTCTTCCACAGACTCTGAGTCGAATGTTTAATCAGTTCCACGTCGCGCTCTTTCTCCATGGGTATTAATCTCGCCTCCTGCGTATAGAGCGCGCTTTCTTCAACGTTTCCTTAAATACAGGCGAGGTCCCGTGTTTGGACATAAATCTGTCGGTGCTGCCCCGGCGTTGACTAATGGTGTGTTTAAAAGCCTCCCAATTAATGTTTAATATCACACACTCTGAATTTACGGCCGCGCCGCAGACTTCACCGAGAGTCCCGAGTCATCCAACTTTGGGAATTTTACTACCTGCTTTGGCTAGTGGCAGATCCCGCCCTTCAAAGGGGAAACAAATGGCTCACAGAAAACTGGGGGGGGGGGGACAGGGGCAAGAGGCAAGCTGTGAACAGCACTTCAGTGAACAGCCCCATACATGCTTTCCAGGGAAGCCCCTCCTGCAGACAGAGAGAGAAGGGGCTTTTTGTCCCTGCAGCCCGGGAGCACGTTAAACCCCCTCATCTTTTGGGGCTCGAGGCAAAAAGCTCTCTACGGAATACTGAACCTCCACAATCCCACAATGCAATGGAGCAGGACAGCTACCAAGAGGCAGGCTTGCAGGAACACATGGTCTGGTAGCTGGGATAATATGCAAGCTGTAGGCCACCATCGACTCTGCGTAATGGAGAAGCAGAAGCTGTCATTTACTAGATAAATATTTCTCTTTTTTTTTTTTTGGACCTGTTCACCAGTTGCACCCGCACCCCCAGCCCCATGTTCCCCCCCGCCTGATCACATCAGGTGTCTCCAGAGCCCATAGGCAGCACGGCCGACAGGAGCTCAAAGCTGCAGAATATTTTAGCACCTGTGTGTAAACGAGGCCCCAGTGAGGCTCTGAGGTTTGTTTATTTAGACAGAGAAGCTTTAATGAGAACAGCAGGAGGTGCAGAGGCTGTCCTGTTTATCGGAGCGAGGCCTGTCCCTGTCACTCCGTCGCAGCTTGTCCCCGACACACGTCGTTTCAGCTGCCCACCCCGTCCCTTGTCCTTGTCTGACACCGGGTCGACTCACCTCCGAGTCGCAGAGTTGCTCAGAAACTCAGGGCTTGTTTAGGGTCAGCCATTCATCCTTGTCTTGTGATCCTGGTGAGCAAGAGAAATAGATATTAGAAGGTAATCTGGGGCTAAACAGCAGCCAAAATGAGCGCGGCCAAATGGCCAAATCACAAGAAACATCACCTCGAATAAACTAGCTTCCGAAATTCACATTCAGCACAGTACATGTCTGCAAAAAAGACTGGCATTAGCCAGTCCAGCTTGGTGCATGAGACAGACACGGTGTGTGTTTAAGACAAGGGTGTGAACCGTGTCCTCCTGGTAATTACAAAGTTGCATTAAAACTGAATTAGGGGACGAACAGAGTCTGTGCTTCACACTGGTGGCATTTTAAGCTGTGCTGAGGCAGCCTTTGGGGGCCAGAAGACAACGGCGCATGGAAAAACAGAAACACCAGGCTGGAACAAAAGGCGAGCGATGCAGGGGATTGTGGGAGAGCATCACCAGGGAATTCGAACCCAGAAGGTGCCGGAATGGAGCAGTTTCATGAGGCCAAGCTGTGCTCTTCCTGCCTGCTTCTGTACACGCGGTGTGTGGCGGTGATTCTGACAGACATTCCAGTGCTAAAGACGGAGTTCCTGGATAAATTTACATAGTGCAATAAAAATTCCTGTTCAATTATCAATAATTTAATGGGAGGGGAGACAGAGGAAGGACTACTACCTAAAATAACATACATTTCAGATGAGACAAACAATGAACAGGCACACCCAAGCCATTAACAGCGTCTGCATGCCACACTTTATTTTTCTGGGGTGGGGAGGGACTCATATACACACATCACTGGGTTTGCACCCCCTTGAAATTTTTTTGTTACCGATCAGGCAAGTTGTGGGAGTTTAAACCCCCTTGGTCAACAAAATCAATGGAACATCTACCAAGAGGGACCTATTGCCAGGAGTGCTGCAGACCTAGCAGACACTTTTATTCAAAGTGAAATACATTTTTTTCATCAGACTTGGTGGTTAAGAGTCTTGCCCTTGGGCCCAATAGTGACATCACACCGCCGACCCTGGGAACTGAACTGACGACCTCCCGGTCATAGGGATAGCATCCTAACCCACAGAGCCACACAACACCTGAATAAGAGAAGTGCCTGGTCGCACTCGTGTGTGGGAGGACCACCGAAAGTCGCAAAACACACGGGAGGCCGAGGGATGGTGAGAACCACACAAAAGCTGGTCTGTCGGGCCGACGCGGGTCTGGAAAATAACAAACGAGCTCAGTGCTGGTGACTGGGGCACGTTTCAGCGCACACACACACACACACACACACACACACACACACAAACGGCATGATACACACGCGCAAACACTAACATTTCTGTTGCTAAGGGTGGGGGTATTCGGCCGGCTGACTCATGTTAAAGGGCTTTGTTCCCCAAAAGGCTTCACTTCTTCATAAAAAAAAAAAAAAAAAGTTGGAAATATAAATAGAGTCATGATGTCACACGTAAGGTGCGCACTGCGCAGCCACTGGCCCAGCTCCATGCATCGAAGAGCCGGGGACCAAAGCAGCCACACTGCAAACAGCACAGTATGGAGCCCAGGGGTTTTGGAAAATGCAGCGTTACCTATAACCCCCCATGTGGACCGATACAGTCATGGGCTCTGCAGAGAACAACTTACTTAAAGACCCAAAATGTGACACAGAGAGAGTTGCTTATGTATCTACAGTTTCATTGTACAAGGATGATAAAGACGTTCTATTCGGCCAGGTAAGGGAGGTGTCCTTTACAGACGCACCCACAGCTTGAACACGTCCACTTTTCCAAGCCACGTGCAGATTCCAAACAAATCACACATGAAGAAAAGTTATCGCCAGCCTCCTGACAGCTGTTTAAAAGATGATATCATCATCCATTTTTTATGACCCTCACACGCACACACACATGTGCAGAGTGTCCGCCACGCCGATAAGCAAACTGCCTGCATGCTGGCAAGCATGGAGAATCACAGAAGAGGCTGGACGTAGACGGAGCTGGCCGTCCGGCCGGGCCCAGCAGACGGCGGGCCGCAGGCACCGTCTCCTCGCGTCCTTGTGTCTCCAAGCAACACGCTCGCCGGTCCTGGCAGACTGCGTGGAAACGGCCGCGTCGCTTTTCCAGTGAGCGTCAGCGTGTTAGCGTGCGGAGCTCTGGAAGCCCTCGCCTTTATTACAGAAGAGCCCTTCTTGTGAACGGCGTGACCCTGTCGGAACTCATTACGTGTAGACGTAGGCCTCCATAAACACTGCTCGCGGTTCTGTGTATGCACGTCTTCATGGGCCTCAGAGTAAGCGATACACCCAGAACGTGCTTCACATCGGCTCTCGGCCACATCTACTACAGGTAGGAGATGGTCTACTAAAGGTCCACAAATGGGACACCAACAAAATACAAAAAAGCACGAAGTACACATAATAGCCTGCAGGTGGTGTAATGGTTAAATAAAAGGACTCCTATGCTAGATTTAGGGACAAGTTTGAAGGTCATTTTGGACAATAACATAATGTAAATCTTCACATCCTTATCTGAAACTACAGAATTCAGTACAGAATTGTCCCAGCTGAACACAGGAGCTGTATCTCAAAGTAATTTCATTTCATTATCTCAACATGGAAGTTCTTAACTTAGCATATGTAAAGAAGTATATTGCTACTAAATTTGGACAATTATCCAGTAAGTTACAAGGTTCAAAGTCAAAGACATGCTGTCTCGTCCTCGGTCAGAGCAGAGCCGAGCCGCAGAGGCTGAATCGGGCCCTTTGTCGGGCCCTGCGTGGCACACGGGGCCAGGGGAGGGAGTGGCGCTGAGTCACAGGGAGGCACTGAATGCATTAGCGAAATTGTGTTTGGCTAAATCTTATCAGATGAGCATCGTTTGCAAGGAAAACGCACGACGGCTGGTGGCCAAGAAGGTGATGCGACTACATTCACACCCCCACCCCCTGAAAAAGGCGCTGATTAAAGCATGTGTGGGGGCAGCTGATTTAGGGCAGAAACAGCAAACTTCCTCCCTCTCCGCAGACAGATGCTGGGCCTCCACGGCGAGCCGGCCACTGAACGCCTGCGCGTGCTTTTCAGCGGCGTCATCTGGCGCTGCGTAACGGCGCTGACCCGCCGTCTCGTCCTCTGGGGAGTCCCGGCCTCTCTGAAAAAAAGCTCTTTGTACTCTGGACAGGAACAGAATTGGAGGGAGGAGGCGAGGTCTCTTTCATGTTCCCCCGAAACGACCAAACACCCAGGAATTCACTGCCTTTAAGAAGCTGGCCTTTCAATGAAGAGCGAACAGGCTAATATCACACGATAGCACAGGACTTCACATGTGGCACAGCTGTGTATATGAACATATGACAGTTAGACCTGTATGTGCTTCGTAATTCATAAGCAGCTATCATGCCACTAATATGGGCTACCAAACCACATCCTAACATCAGACTCCCCCTCAACCTTTAGGGAAGGCCTCAAGACCCCTGTTCCAGAAGCTGCTCTTCTAGCCTGATACCACTCTCCAGTGTGTTCCTGAATGTTCTGATTTGAAAAGCTGCCTTAGCTTCTTGCTGTGTTTGAATGATGCTGAATAGCTCTTGCCTTGATCCTGTTTACACTTGTAAGTTGGAATTCACTGTAAGCTCAGCCTAGCTGCCCTTATGCCTAGGGGAGCCCTTGACAGCCGTGTGCATGTTTACGTGCTGTTTGCCTCACTTGTGCGTCACATTGGCAAAAACATCTGCTAAATTAAGGCAAATGTGGTATATTAATGGTGATTAATGATCCAGAAAACAGAACCCCCCCCCTCTTCCAGAATGCCCGCTTCAGGAGTGTTGAAGTACTGCCTGTGGCTTCACTGAGTCCTACCTACCTGTCCTCTTTGGACCAGCACCTGGACCCCCTCCCTGAATAAGCCAGATTAGCATCTCTGCTCACCTGCAAGTTGTAAATTAGCCATAAAAGGCAGAGCCGCTTAAAAGGGATTCCAGATGAGCAAGGATTAACCTGAGGCTATGGCATGTGGGGATGCGACACAGCACCAATGGCGTGCCGTACAGTCGGCGCCTGTTTGAAAGGTCAGCCAGAAGGGGGCGCTCATCTTAACCCCTGCAGGCCATGATGGGGTCTCTCATGGCTACAGGGACACAGAACGGGGAACAGAGAAGCTGGTCAGTGCTGAAAGACGGGCCTTTCTGAAGAGAATGTTCCAGATTGGGGGCCACCCTGCGCTGCTGTAAGGCCCCGGGCGTCTCGGAGGCCGAGCGACGGCTCACTGTGGGGAGGGGTCAAAGCAGCGCTGGCCTGTCCGTGTGACGGCGGATGAACTCGCAAATGGCCCCTGCACACCCCTGTATGCAGGTCCATGCCAAACCACAGACTACACGCAGACGTCCCTCTGAACTACAGCCCATGAACCGGCCCTCTCCCTCAGAGGGACATCACCTTATGGGGTGGGGGGGGGCACACACACAAACAGATACACAAGCACACACATGCTGCGAGAGTGACGCCATAAGAAATATACACCATGTGTCACGGTGTACATGTGAAACAGACCTTGAACTGAAAATGGTTACAGAATCATGGCCAAATTAATGGATGTTCAGATCTGAGGAGGTAAACACTGTTGTCTCCATGAAGCCTGACCTCAGCCACAGTGACATATATTAAACAGCACAGTCAGGGTGAATCACAAGGGACAGTCTTTGTACTTAAACCCACAATCCGTCTACTTCACAACCCAGTGTGAGTTATCTTGCAAAACAGAGAAAACTCAGAAAAAAATCCTATTAAACTCCACAGCACTAAAACATACAAAAAAGAGGCCTTTTCTGCCATCAGTCGCATGCATGCGTGAAGCACGTCACAGTCCGTATTCTGCAAAGACCACAAGTGTGCAACCGTGTCACCCGAGGGGTCCAGAGACTCAAGGAAATCATCAAAAATCCAGTTGTGCACCAGCCAATATGTGTCTCCACTTACACTTCACCTTTTCTCCTCTTTTAAACACAGATGTTCCAGTGGCGCCCCCCACAGGTGTCTCTCTGCTGATGCC